TACGGTATGGTATGGTAATTATATTGCTGCAAAAGTTGGGTGTCCTCCCTCTCTCTGCTGAGCAGTGGCAAGAGCCCATGGGATTCTAGACACTCACCCAGGGCCTGAGTTCCTTTGGAGGATTGAGACATGGTGGAGACTGTTGTAGCTTGAAGAAATATAGTTCATTCACCTATCTGCACCGTCAGTTTACATGGAGGGAGTCCAGATCTTACACCATGGTCATTTTAAGAAGGGCTTGCTCCCCACAGCAGTGCAGCCAAGGAGTCCAAGCCATCTCTCCCAGCCTGCCTTCAGCCAGCCTGCCCAATATGGATCCCAGTCTTCCTTCTCCTTCTTCCCAGAACACCTTGCTCAAAAACTCTCTTTTCCTATCACTTCAAAAACACACCCCATCACCTTGGCAACATCCATCTCTCCAGGCCAAAGGATTCCTCTCAGATAACCCATCAACACCTTTGCTCTTGTTTATTTATTTTTACAGTATACCCCATCCTCCCTGGCCAAGACCGGGCTCAGGGCGGCTAACATCAGATATAAAAACAATTGATTAAAATACAACTTAAAAACAAGATTAAAATACTACTTAAAATGCAGCCTCATTTCAGTGGAAACCCAGATCAAAAACTGTTTGGGGGGAGAAAATGTCAAATCTTCACCAAGGCCAACTATCCAGACTGGTCCTACGTGGGCCAGAAAATCCAAGGAAAGTCCCCAAATAGGGGTTCCATCACAGAAGGAAAAGGAAAGAGGGGGAGGGGATCAGACTGGTTCCAAGCCAAAGGGCAGGTGGAACAACTCTGTCTTACAGGCCCTGCGGAAAGAAATCAGATCCCACAGTGCCCTGGTCTCATGAGACAGAGCGTTCCACCAGGCCAGAGCATACCTGTAGTGTTGAATCCTCCCCAATTTCAAGCTGGAAATCTCTCCACCTCTGCCCAACAGCTGCCAGAAGCAGGCATGACAGAAGCAGGCAAGAACTCCAGGATGGCTATGATGAAAGCAAAACTGATCCTATACCTTACCTGCAGGGTACAGGTGGGGAGATCTCAACAGGGATTCCATTTTCACATCATCTCTATGTTAAAGACAAACCATCCAACTGGGATGACCAGCCAAATAATATCACACCAGTGGTGGAAAAAGTGGTGCTCTTCACTACAGATTTCTATACAGTGGCACCTTGGGTTACAGATGCTTCAGGTTACAGACACTTCAGGTTACAGACTCCACTAACCTAGAAATAGTACCTCGGGTTAAGAACTTTGCTTCAGGATGAGAACAGAAATGGTGCAGCAGTAGCACAGCGGCAGCAGGAGGCCGCATTAGCTAAAGTGGTGCTTCAGGTTAAGAACAGTTTCAGGTTAAGAACAGACCTCCAGAACGAATTAAGTTCTTAACCTGAGGTACCACTGTATTTGAAATACATTGGTTAGCCACTTTACTATGTTTCTATTGACTATCAGGCAATTAGCATAAATGATCCCGACTTTCTACTTTTCCTTACCTCATCTTGCAAAGCCAGCAGTTACAACTTGGTCACCAGGGTAAATCAGGTACTGGAATGTCTGTGGGTTTTTTTGTTGTGGGGTGCGGGTGCTTCTAACTTATTCTGCTGATTATTAATTTGATCAATACAATGCTTAGGAAAGTAAAAAAAGGTCAAAGCCACAAGTTATGGCAGTTGGGTGCTGGTAGCCTTGTGGTAGCTTTTGCTGAACATTGCATTTTTTTGTTAAGGTTCATGAGGGATGAGTCAGGAGGGCTAATAAGTTTATGATCTTCCTCGTTTGAGCTGGGTGAAAAGGTTATTAGGGAGGCCAAAATTATGCCTTGCTTGCTTCTAGCTAATTTCTGAGACCAAAGCTAAAGTCTGCTGTAAGTAGAAAGATGGGGTCTCCTGCCAGTGCCTGATATATGAGACAAGTCTGGGGTCTCTTTGGTTTTCCTCTTCTTATGTTCCCATCACCTATGTCATGTGTGGTGTGTCCTTAGTTTTGAAAGCCTTGGACATGATTCCTAATGAGTGCCAATTCATGTTCCTGCTGGTTCATTTAAGGACAAAATAACTTTCATTTTAAATATGCCTTGATATCTTAAAGCGTTTAGACAAAATAAAGATCGACTCTCTCACAATCAATCTGTGTTTGGTTAGTTAGCACATATTCATTTCTAAACTTGCTTGTTTAATGTAAAAAAGGAAATCCAGCTTGGCAGAAATTCCTGTCCATTCATCTTGGTTAAACAAAGTGTCAGGTAAGGATATCTCCTCCAACTTGAAAAAAGAAAACGAGATGGAGCCATTTGGCAGCCAGAATAGTATTCCTGGCTTTGCGCCTGAGTCCCAAACACATGACGTGGAAGTGGATTCCATTGCAGTCAAAGGCATTTCCTCCCAAAGAATCTGCAGGAGATCAGGTCACACACAAAGGTGAAAATGCAGCTTAACAGAGGAGACAATGTTTCTAAAGAACTCTATTCTCTCAATTTTTTTCATAAAGCAAACACTGTGCCACAGTGGTGAAAGATGGTTTTCTTTTAAGCTGGAAACACAAGAGCCTTTGAAGCACAAGAGCCTGACATGTTCTCTCTTACACAGATTTCTTGAGGAACAAAATCTGGAAGTGGACTCTAGTTTCATGAAGCATAAGGCCACACTGGTAAGACTAGCATAGCAAGGAAGAAGAAGAAGAGGAGGAGGAGGAGGAGGAGGAGGAGGAGGAGGAGGAGGAGTTTGGATTTGATATCCCGCCTTTCACTCCCCTTCAGGAGTCTCAAAGCGGCTAACATTCTCCTTTTCCCTTCCTCCCGCACAACAAACACTCTGTGAGGTGAGTGGGGCTGAGAGACTTCAAAGAAGTGTGACTGGCCCAAGGTTACCCAGCAGCTGCATGTGGAGGAGTGGGGAAGCGAACCCCGTTCCCCAGATTACGAGACTACCGCTCTTAACCACTACACCACACTGGCTCTCCCCACAGTGCTTTTCAGGGGCTGCCACATGATTGACAGTCAAGTGAATCCACCTTTACAGATAGTTCCCAGAAAACGTCATTGCTAGAAGAACAATCATATTATAAGTGTTATTCCTTCGTCAGCTCTACAGATGCCACATGGATTAGACCAAAGCACACAGTTCTGCAATTGCAAAATTAAGTTATATTGTTTGTTTGTGCCCTAACATTTCCCCACTGTTATGCTCTTAGGTTTTTGTGCACAGTGAAATGCAATATAAATTGGCCTTCTCTAGTCCTTCACAGCTGCGAAGGACAGCATCAAGGTGCTTAGTATTACTGTAGCCAAATCACAGACAGGCTTTGGGGCACAGTCTGCATGGATGTTCTCCTGTTGTGCATGCCCCACTGAAGCAAATGGTGCCTTCAACAGGTTAGTAAAAATGTCGCAGTGAATTGTGTTTCTTTTTATTTTACAGTAGAAAGTATTCTGGTCTGAAGGTCTAACAAAAATCAAATGTTCCCCACACAAGTTAAATGTTCCCTGCACTTTTCTGTGTGTGATAAAACTAATCATATCCTGAATTGATTTTGCAGGAAACATCTCAGTCCGCTTTCCAATCTGGATTCTTATCTTTAGAGAAACCAGCAGAAAGGTTAGGTTATTAAGTTTCTTCCCTCATCCATAGCAGCTGACACAAGGATACCTAAGAATGGATCCCACTAACTTTGGCTGTGTGGATTTTATCTCAGACATGGAAACAGTTTTCTTGATTAAGCTGCAGCCAGTTTAATCACAACTAAGTCTCTATATAATATGTTTCAGCATTTAGCTCATAGAGTTATATGGAGACGCTTGCCTGCTAGAAAATAAAATCCCTTGGTGCAAGGCAATTCAGTAATTGCAACTAAGTTTAAAGTGTCTAATGAGGAAATATCTCTGGGTTGAATTGGATTCAGGAAAACAGAACATTCACCAGAAGCATATATGAAGAGTTGGTAAATTTAAGTGGCTAAGTAATTGAGTTGTGATGGAGGTGATTATCTGTTCAGATCTCATCTCAGCCACAAACTGAGGTGACAATCCTGTGCATGTTTCTCTGAGTGTAAGTCTTACTGAACTCAGTGGGGCTTATTTCTGAGAAGACATGTATAGGATTGCATTATAAGCAGCTTTAAGCAAGCCTCTCTCCTTCTCTCCCTTTGCCTCAGTTTCCCCTCCGCTACAATTATAACATAACAATCTTGTGAGGATTACCTACACACAAAAAGTAAAGTGTGTAATATTGGATATTATTGTTATTACTGTGTATTTTTGAATCTACCCTCTCTTTAAAAGATAGATTAACTTTTGAACTGAAGCTATAGAATTTTAGCAAACATGCAACCACAGGACTGCTTTTCATGTTTAGAATGGTTTGAACTTATATTGCCATATAATAATAATGTATGGCTGTCATCATGCTGCAGTTCATGTGGCTGCCAATAGGTGGCCACAGTAGCATGATAAAAAAAACAGCAGACATGCAAACAAGCAAGCAGCATGGGTGGCAGGCAGCCCAGGTGAGGATGGGGGCCCTTCAGAGGATGGTTTGCTATTTCTCATGATCCTCTATTTCTCAAGACAATGAATAGAGAATTATTTATGAGAGTTGGCTGTCTCATCATCATCATTGTTTAATCACCCTGAGGTCCTAGTGTGGGCCACTACAATTTAAAATGAAACAGTAAAGTCAGAGGGCAAAGTTCAGGAAGTTCAATAAAGCCAGGCTTTGCTAATGTCGTGAATCATGATGAGGGACTTGAGAGACCTGAAGCTTGATTTAGATGGGAAGGCTATTCTAAACAAGGCCATCTGCTTGGCAGAAGACAGGGATATGGAGCGGAGGTGAGATAATAGCAGCAAAACATAATATTCAGGTTACCTTGAAGTTACGCTTTTCAAGGCTTATTTGAATCCAGATTGCCAAATATTGGAAATCCAACAGTCTTCCCAACAAATAAATAAAAAATAATTTAAAAAAAAATTGTCCAGTAGCACCTTAGATACCAACTAAGTTTGTTCTGGGTATAAGCTTTCGTGTGCATGCACACTTCTGCATGCACTGTATCTGAAGAAGTGTGCATGCACATGAAAGCTTATACCCAGAACAAACTTAGTTGGTCTCTAAGGTGCTACTAAGGGACGTGGGTGGCGCTGTGGGTTAAACCACAGAGCCTAGGGCTTGCCGATCAGAAGGTTGGCGGTTCAAATCCCCGCGATGGGGTGAGCTCCCGTTGCTCGGTCCCTGCTCCTGCCAACCTAGTAGTTCGAAAGCATGTCAAAGTGCAAGTAGATAAATAGGTAGCGCTGCAGCGGGAAGGTAAACGGCATTTCTGTGTACTGCTCTGGTTCGCCAGAAGTGGCTTAGTCATGCTGGCCATATGACCTGGAAGCTGTACGCCGGCTCCCTCAGCCAATAAAGCGAGATGAGCGCCACAACCCCAGAGTTGGTCACGACTGGACCTAATGGTCAGGGGTCCCTTTACCTTTACCTTAAGGTGCTACTGGGCAATTTTTTAATTTTTTAAATTTATTTCGACTGCGTCAGACCAACACGGCTACCTACCTGAATACCTACCTGAATCAAGTCTTCCCAACAGTTGTTAATTTTACATGGCTTCAGAAGATAAACTACAGGACACCTATACATCCCTGAATAGGGTGGAGACAGGGTGGTTTTGGGAGGGTTGAGTTAAAACTGGTATATTACAGAACCCATTGTGCATGCAAAGTTTGTTACTCTGGTTCCACTGTCACCTTTGATCAAACAGGATTTTGCATAAGCCAACAAACCCTGTTTGACCAGAGACAACAGCAGGGTTGAAGAAATCTGTGAGCATCTATGGGCAATAAACAATAGCTCTGTCCTAACACTTTCAGTTATTTCTTTTTTTAAAATTGTGTGTAATAAGAGAAAAACCCAGAGGAAGAACCCAGGATGGCACAGCCAGCCAGACTCATAGCAGAGCGACAGCTGCAGCGTGCAATCTGAAAAACAAAAAAGCAACCCCCCACAACTCCATCCTAAAAAAAATTAAAAAAATAATGTGCTGAGAAGCAAAAGGCAAGGAACACAGATTTGGAAAATTTTAATCAATGATAATTATGGATGAAGAAGAGGAGTCGCTCATCAAGCATCTTCTTGACATTTTTGAGTGGGTTGTTGAGAAGGTGGATAATGCCAGCAGGAGATGTTTGCGTTTCCACACTGTCACATCCCACTGCACCTTTTGAGAGAGAAAGAAAAGTCCCTGCTTACTTGAGAGACCTAAATTGAGCACCATTCTGATGGGTTGAGAGAATAGCACTTGCCAAGAAAATGCCAAGTTGCTCTCATTCTGCCATTTTAGACAATTCCCAGCTACCACTCTGGCTTTGTCGCCACTTGATGAGATGAGCCACAGCCCCGTGGCAGGGCACAGGACGGTCCCATCAGAAAAGCGAACCAAGCAACTGCCTGGGGACAGCTGACTCAGCTAGGGAAATGTCTTGGAGACAGAGTTTGCCTCTGTGTACCTGTTTGGAAAGCAGAGAGCGAGTAGGAAACTCATCGATAGGGATGGTGGAGGATTTCACAACGTGAGCTCTGCAGCTGTTTGCTCATTCAACGACCTGGTGAGCCAGTTGCTTTCCGTGGGAGCACTGGCAAGCCTCAGTGATACCATTTTAAAATTTAAAGAAAATTGCAGACTTAATGCTGTGGGCATCCGCCCATCAATGGAAGTGTGTGCCTTCGGGGATGAAGTCAAACCATCAGAGAATTACAGCGCCTGCTGTATTTAATGACACTGTTTGCAAACCCATGACATATTTAGCTATGATTTCTTATACCATTGTTACTCTGTTTGTTGTCATTGTTTTGGAGTTACTTTGGCGAAATGTGTATTCTGTTGAACTGTGTTTTATTGAGGTGACAATTGCCATCAACATTTACTGTTTCATTTCTCCTTCTGTCTACCTGCCTATATAGATCACCGTTACACAATTGTGTGTACTAGTAGCTTTATAAATACAAAAACAAATAAATTTCAGAACAAAGAATTATTATCTTTTCAGAGACAGCTTCATACATTCTTGTCCAAAAATAAGGTATTTTTGAAGGACGCAGGTTTTCTGCAGCCTCATCTCTCATCAATCCATCATTTATTAACATTACGTTTTTCATTTACTGTATTTACATGAATCCAGTGCGCACCTCAATTTTCAAAACCTCGAAACCAAAAAAAGGATTTACAGGCACCAGAAAATCTAATGTGCACCCTAATGTGCACCAAAAAGGTGCAGATTACATTCGAGTAAATACAGTGGTACCTCTGGTTGCGTACTTAATTCGTTCTGGAGGTCTGTTCTTAACCTGAAACTGTTCTTAACCTGAAGCACCACTTTAGCTAATGGGGCCTCCCGCTGCTGCCGTGCCGCTGTGGCACAATTTCTGTTCTCATCCTGAAGCAAAGTTCTTAACCTGAGGTACTATTTCTGGGTTAGCAGAGTCTGTAACCTGAAGCGTCTGTAACCTGAGGCGTATGTAACCCGAGGTACCACTGTCCGGCATTTCTCATACAGAAGAGGAAACAATGCAAACACTTTTTTTGTCTGTGGTGGTGAAGGACAGAGGTCATTCCAGTCCAACCCACCCTCACTGGTGATGTTCTGCAATGTTTAAAATGTGACTCTTACTAAAATAATTCTTAACATTACTAATTTATATTAATAACAAAGTTCAAACTGAATACATTTTTTTAAAAAAGTTTGTTTTTACATGCAAATTGCTTTTATGAGAAATCTGAATGTAAAAATATATTTTTGTTATAAAATTTTTGTTATTGCTTGAAATAAATGATTTGTTGATTTAATTCCCCCTTTTATGTGCTTTCAATCATCTTTCTAATGTCTTCCACTATAGTATTAATTCAGGCAGTAATGGCCAAAGTGGATAATATTTCTCCTGTGGAAAAAGTGTTTTTAGCAATTATTGCCTTTGCCAAATTTTCTTCTGCAAGTGGCCATTCACAGCTTTGCAACAGGAACAGAAAGGGAGGGATGAGGGAGAGGACTGGATATGTTGTTGTGTTAAACGGTTTTTCCCAATAGGGGATGTCTTGCTGATGATCTGTGTCATTCACTCACAATGATTTTAAATCTTTTGTTTCCTGCCCCCTGGGGGCGATGACTACTGGATGGTGGGCAATCAATAACTGTAGCAGTACTGTAAACTGCAAGAAAATATAGGAATATAACAATATCCATTATGTAAGAGGCAATCACACCACCATCAGGAGAATCGAAAACAATAATGTTATTTTCACAAACTGCCATACTGGGCCAAGATTGGACGAATTTAGCAAAATGTGAGCCTCTATAGACCCGGTTTGAGTAACGATAATGCAATCAAAAGAAGAGCAAACCCCATCCCTTCTTATCGCTGGCTGATATTCCCTCCCAGACAAATATACTGTCGCAAAGAGAGAGAGAAGTAAAGAACTGATAGAGATTAACAACTACGTCTTATTGTTAAGGTGTGAAGGCAGAGAATAGCCAGGTAGCCATTGGCAGCCTTTTCCTCCACTGATTTGTCTTTTAAAGCCATCCGAGTTGGTGGCCATCACTCATTTTGTGAGATGGAAGACATGAGTTCTCATCTCATGTCAAGGTTCTCCTTGAGGGAAACTTTGATACTATTACACTGGCTGTAGCAAAATTCCTCTCAGAGGTACAGTCATACCTCGTGTTACGTCCGCTTCATGTTACATTCTTTCAGGTTATGTCCCACGGCAACCCGGAAGTACCGGAAAGGGTTACTTACAGGTTTCGCCGCTCGCGCATGCGCACAAAATGACATAATGTGCATGCACAGAAGCAGCGAATCACAACCCGCGCATGCGCAGATGCACCGTTGCGGGTTGTGTTCCTTTCATGTTGCAAACAGGCCTCCCAAACGGATCCCGTTCACAACCAGAGGTACCACTGTAGTAAAAATCAGAAAGATCCTCCTAGCAAGGCCAATTTTACACCTTAAGAACTGTTGATATTTACTATTGTTGTACTGTGTGGGGTTTTTTTGGGTCTATGGACCACAATAAAGCTCTTTGTGTGACTATCCTAGAATGTGGTATCTTTGAAGAAGTGGCAGCTGTGACCGTAATATGCAGCCAATCCTCAGAAATTCCCCTGCAATTACTGCCTTAAGAAATAGCAAACCACGTGCAGTTTCTCTTGAGGGGAGCCTGAGCTCTCTTAAAGATTACTGCACATGGTGGAGATTGCCCAGGAGCTTCAGAATGAGAGGGGGACCAGAGGAGGTGTTCAAAGCAATGGGGACCCTCAGAAAAAAGCAGGGTGTGTTGACCACCATAGTTCAAAGCAGTGCTCCATGGACTGGGGAAAGGATGGTACTGAGGAGAAAGGACTGGGCTGAGGGTGAAAAGTCAATGGGTGGAATTGAATGTCCTCATGTGCTGAATCTGACATGTGGGCACCCCAGCTTTAAAACTTAACATGGTTCCCACTTCAATCTAACACGACAAGTCCTTATTGCATATTGTAAATGCAGCAAAAATTGAGATGCAAGATAGCAAGGTTCCAAGGCCCAACATGCAGACAAATGTTTTAGCAACCAGGTAACAAGCACTAGGTATATGCAAATAATTACAAGGAAAGACAGCTTGTCATGGCGGTTAAACAGAGCGATTTTTTTGCCGACTATGCTAAATGTACGTAACACACCAGAGCAGTCATTATTTGACCTTCGGCTGTTACCGTATGTAAATGACAATTTATGGAAAACCAGCTGTTATTAACTCACAAACTGTGTTGCTGAAACAAAACCACGGCTCCAGACAGCCGGTTAAGAAAAATAATTTAAAACATGACTGAGTTTGATTAATAGCTGTCGACATGTGATGCTGAAGTGAAACAACAGGAGCCATCGTTCCACTGGACGTTGATAAAATATGGAAAGAAGCCCCAGCGCCTTGCTGCTTGTGGCAGGGTGTGCAAAGAGCATTATGCGCGTGCTTTCAATCACACTTTGAGCAATGAGAAGTTTCAGGGTTACAGTGCTTACCCAAAATTCCTTTGGAGGGGTGGTTGCAGCATTTTGTAAGATATTTAACTAATATGCA